GTGTAAATCTCCTAGTCTTCAATAGACATTTTCTGAAATACCAAATCATGGTGCATTGTGGCCTAGCTCCAGTACAAACAAAACTATATTTGGCAACATGAACAAACAATGTTTGTACCGAATCTAGGCCACAATGCAATGCAAACTTACATTTTAGAAAAGGCATTGGACGGCTTCAATTATTATCATGAAAGAAGGATTACATTTTGAAGTTTAATGTGTGTTTTTTTTCTTACTTTCAGGTACACATGGTGTTTGATATAAGTCGATACTCAATTACTGTTTGTTCTCAAATTTGTAATTATCTAAACATCTGTTGTTTTACCATTCCATACAAACCCACAGAATCAACAAAAACTAAATAAGTTAGTAAACTGAAATAGTTATGTAAAAATAGTCGAGGTGAATTGCACAGCAGTATTGCACTGAAATCACATGACGTCGGCCATTATGGTTGACAGAAACATTGGTTTTGACCTGGCATCACCTTTAAAAGTGAGTTAAGAGTAATTTGTATCCAACRAATTTGACAAACAAAGAAGTTAATAACAATTACCTTGTTTATATTTCCAAAAAAGAAATTTCAACCATGATATTTTTGTTTTGGCATACCCAGATGACTAGCGGCAAATAGAATATGTGTGAAGGACAACCAAGGGTTGTYTGGGCATAGTTGTGACACAGAAAGCTGTGTATAAACAGCCTATGAAAGGGCCATGTGCAGCAGCGCCATTTTGTTGAACAAAGCATGATGGAAGTTGTAGCCCTTGAACTGATTATAGACAATAAAATATCTACCCAAAAGCCATGTTTTCTTTGTAGAAWCGGTACAACTACTTCTATTTTTACTTAGAAAAAGCTGCTTAGAATGGCCATTGTAGCAGACATACAAAAGTGTGAGGACTACAACTACCATCATAAAAGCTGCACAAAATGGCATCGCAGCAAGTCGCCTRTTATTCTAAACTAWYAGCTGYAGTCTCCTAGGCCATTTTTGTTTATTGTTAATACCATGTAAAGTATGAATCATGGCGACAATCTTGGATAGTTTCCATGGCAACCTCTTCTATCAAAGAAAGCCAAACYGGCTCCCTYACTCTGTTTAAAGAGGCTAKATTACCTGTCTGAGATGGTTGCCATGATAACGTACTGTGTTGTAACTTTTTAAATTCTTAAATAGTATAAATTATATGTGAAGTTGCAGTTTAATCCATGGAAAACAAGTAAAAAAAATCCCATAACTTACAAATAAACCATGTAGTTGTGTTTTATTTATTAAAAATCACCTTAAAACTGAATAATAGCACAGTGCGCTATGTGCG